ACGGTGTGTGTAAGTGTGTACAGAGGACAGAAGGACAGAGACGGTGTGTGTGTAAGTGAGTACAGAGGGCAGAACAACAGAGAAGACGGTGTGTGTGTACAAGTGAGTATAGAGGACAGAAGGACAGAGACGGTGTGTGTGTACGTGAGTACAGAGGACAGAAGGACAGAGACGGTGTGTGAGTCAGTGAGTACAGAGGACAGAAGGACAGAGACGGTGTGTGTGTAAGTGAGTACAGAGGACAGAAGGACAGAGAAGATGGTGTGTGTAAGTGAGTACAGAGGACAGAAGGACAGAGACAGTGTGTGAGTCAGTGAGTACAGAGGACAGAAGGACAGAGACGGTGTGTGTATAAGTGAGTACAAAGTGCAGAAGGATAGAGACAATGTGTGTGTGAGTACAGAGGACAGAAGGACAGAGAAGACGGTGTGTGTATAAGTGAGTACAGAGGACAGAAGGACAGAGACGGTGCGTTTAAGTGAGTACAAACGAAGGGGAAAGGGGAAAGGCAGGGGAGAGTATGCTTATCTAACACTTTGAGGTCCTGGGTGAAATGCCCAGTACCAAAGAAGGGAAGGAGAAAAGGATGATGGAGGGATGCATGGATGCACAGATGGAGGGGGGGAGGGATGGACAGAGAGAAGGATTGAGGAAGGGAAGGGAGGGATGGACAGAAGGAGGGATGGAAGGAGGGATGCAGGGAGAGAGGTCGTGCATTGGCATTTCCAGTGGCACTCAGTGGGGCATGTGTGAGTCCTGTCCTGTTACCTTTCCTGACCACCAGGGCAATGGCTACAAGCCCTGTGAAGAGGAGAATGGCTCCAGCCAGGCTGAGCGAGAGCACCAGGATCCAGGTGGACACTAGAAGAGAGTGGGAGAAGAGGAGGCAGGTCAGAGCTGTTGGGAGGCTGAGGGGAACCCCTGCACCTCTTCAGGCTGCCTTTCTGGAGCCAGCCCCCTCCCAAGAGACACCCTCAAAGCTTGGATACAGGACCTTGTGCATTTCGACAGCCTTGTGTTCAATTAGCTAGTCCACTCCCTGGGGAATGTGACTGGTTGAGCCAATTAAGAACATCTTCTGGATCAATAAGAAAGGGATTTGTTCCTTCTGGGATACTGGCCCCAACGCCAGCAGCTTGTATTCAGAAGCTCAGGCAGGAGGATGGTGAGTTTAAGGCTAGCATGTGCTATGTAGACAATTGGTGACCAGCCTAGTATGAACCACCTCCCCCACACCAACACACACTCCAGAAAAAAGAAGATATAGCTTAAAGAGCTTACCTAGTGTGAACAAGATTCTGGGTTCCATCCCCAGCACAACCAAAGAATAAAAGTAGTTATTATTTATTTATATTTCAATTTCATGTGTATGAGTGTATTGCCTGCATGATTATAAGTGTATCCTTGTCAGCAATGTCTGCAGACACCAGAAAGGGGGCATTGATCCCCTGGAACTGGAGTTAAGGATGATTGTTACCATCATGTGGGTGCTGTGAATCCAACCTGGGCCTTCTGCAAGAGCAGTCAGTGCTCTTAGCTGCTGAGCCATCTCTCTAGCCCATGAACACATGTTTAAAAAGAGCTGTCATGGTTCATAGGTGTAATTGAAGTCCTTGGGAGTCTGAGGCAGGATGATTGCATTGAGTCTGAGATGAGCCTGGGCTACATAGTAAGTTCCAGGACCGCCTGGACTACAGTGTGAAACCCTGTCTGATAAAACAAAAGAAATCATAAAAAGGTTTTATCTCTGTGGCTAGGATTGCCATTGGAGCTGCTGAGTAGGATTTTGCCACCATAAAGTGAAAGGGGGGGGGCTTAGAACAAGTTGAGGAAGGAAGAAGGAACGGGAAATGACAGGGAATTCCTGCCATCTTTGAACTCCTGAGTCTAGCCATGTGTGAAGTCATACTATGAATGGACTGCAACAAACCAACAAATTGTCTTCCTTCCTCCCTCCCTCCTTCCTTCCTTCCTCCTTCCTCCTTCCTTCCTCCCTCCCTCCTTCCTTCCTTCCTCCTTCCTTCCTCCTTCCTCCCTCCCTCCTTCCTTCCTTCCTCCTTCCTTCCTTCCTTTCTTCCTCCCTCCTTCCTTCCTTCCTCCTTCCTCCTTCCTTCCTTCTTCCTCCCTTCCTCCCTCCTTCCTCATTCCTCCCTTCCTCCCTCCTTCCTTCCTTCCTCCTTTTTGAGACAGGATCTCCCTGTAGCCCCAGCTATCCTGGAACTCACTATGTAGACCAGGCTGGCCTTGAACTCACAGAGATCCGCCTGCCTCTGCCTCCCGAGTGCTGGGATTAAAGGCATGCGCCACCATGCCTGGCTTGGTTAGGTCTTTTTTATTTCCCCTTCTAGGATAGGAGGGGCGTGGTCAACTCCAAGCTGGGAGACCACAAGCCCCAAATGACAAAAAGAGGCCTTTGAGCTGTGCTAGAGGGGTCTTGGGTCTCCCCCAGAGGCTGCTCCATCCTTCCAGCTTGCTGGTTAACAACAAAATTCTCTTTGCAGGGACAGCATGATGAAAGCCCATGGAGAACCTGGGCGGCTCCATCCTCACAATATTTTTTTTGGTTCATTTTGAGACATGGTCTTATGTAGCCCAGGATGACCTGGGACTCATTGTTTAGCTGATGAGAACAGTTAACTTCTGATCCTTCTGCCTCAGCTCCCTCTGTGCTGGGATTACAGGCTTATACCTCCGTGCCTGATCTTTCTCATTTTAAAAAGTTTTTTATTTAGTTTTATTTTATGTGTATGGTTTTTTTGCCTACAAGTATTTAAGCGAACCATGTATACAATGTCTATGGAGGCCAGAAGAGGGCATTTGATCACTGCCATGTGGGTGGTGGGAACAAAGCCCAGGTTCTCTGCAAGAGCAGCTGGTGCTCTTAACCACTAAACCATCTCTCTGCCCCCCCTCCCTTTTTTTTCTTTTGAGACAGCATTTCCCTCTGTAGCCCCAGGAGGCCTAGAACTTGCTATATAGACTAGGCTGACCTCAAACTCCCTGAAATTTGCCTGCTTCTGTCTGCCCCTGAGTGCTGGAACTAAAGGTATGTACCACCACACCCATCCCCGCCCCCTTTTTTCCCCTATTTTGAGTCAGGGTCTCAATGTAGCCAAGGCTAACCTGGAACTCACTATGTAGCTGAGGATGACCTTGAACCCCTTATCCTGCTGCTTTTATCTTAAGTGTGCTGGAATGACCAGTGTACAGTACTATACCTGGTTTATGTGGTGCTGGGGATAAAATCTAGAGGGTCCTGCATGCTAGGTAAGTGCTCTATCAACTGAGCCCCATCCCCAACCCTGAGACAGGGTCTTCCTATGCAGCCTGGTGCTATGTAGACCAGACTGCCCTGAAGCCTGTTACCCCCTTGGCTTCATTTTTAAAATTTTTATTTATTTGTTGGGCTAGAGAGCTGGCTCAACGGTTAAGAGCACTGGCTGCTCTTGCAGAGCACCTGGTTCAATTCCCAGTACCTAGTTGGCCTCTAGTAACTGTCTGTAACTTCAGTTCCAGGAGACTCCAACATCCTCCTCAACCTCCTTGGGGACTGCATGACAGGGGTGCACCTACTTACATACAGGGGTGCACTTGCATACATGTGTACACTCATACACATACAATAAAAATAATAAATAAAAAATATTTATATGGGCAGGGCATGGTGGCACACGCTTTTAATCATAGCACTTGGAAGGCAGAGGCAGATGGAGCTCTATGAGTTCAAGGCCAGCCTGGTCTACATAGTGAGTTCCAGGACAGCTTTTTGAGACCCTGTCTCAAAAAGACCAAAAAAAAAATTTTTATGTGTATGAGTGTTTTGCCTGCATGTACATCACATGTATGCAATACCCACAGAGACCAGATGAGGGCATCAGATTCCCTGGAATTGGAGTTACAGATGGTTGTTAGCCACCATGTGGGTGCTGGGAACTAAACCTGGGTCCTCTGTAAGAGCAGCCAGTGCTCTTAACCACTGAGTCAGCTCTCCAGGCCTGTCTCCATCTTTCAAAGGCTGGGATTGTAAGACTGTACCACCACTTGGCAGCTGATGTCTGGACAATGGTGACCAAAGGCATCCACCTCTCACTTCTGTTTTCTGTGTGCTATGGACAAGCCTCATGCACATCTTGTGCTTCAGTTTCCCTATCCGAGAATGTAGAAAAATATAACTTCTGACTCATGGAATGGTTGCGAAGGTAGACGAAAGAAAGGCCAGTGAGTAGACCTGGGGAAGAATCACCAAGTTTGAGGAAATGCTATGGGAGGAGGTCTAAAAGTGGGTGGGGCACACAGATGTTCAAGTAAGGGTAAATTGAGATTAGGGCACAGCTCAGTGTAGAAAGTCCACCCAAAATCCCTCGGTGAGGGGCTGGGGGTGTGGCTCAGAGGTAGACCCTACCTAGCATCACAGGGAGGTGGAAGGGATACTTAACCACTTGAAGTCTTACCTGGGAAGGAGACCTGCAAGGGCTGACTGAGATCTGATAGCTGGGGCTGGCTGTTCTCGCCCATCACACCATACTGACAGCGGTAGCTCCCCCCAGCAGTCTCTCCACCGTCACTAGCAGTCACAGTGAATGTGACCCCAGGCTGGTCCTCAGGGGCCTGCAGGAACTGGAGCACCTCTTGTCCTCGGTACAGAGTGAAATTGGCCCCTAGGACGTCCCCGGGGGCTGTGCAGGAGATGTGGATGGGGTCATCTTGGCTGCTTGGATGGGGAGGCACTAGGAAGATGGATGGTTCTGGGATGGCCAGGGAGCCTGTAATGAAGATTGACAGCAGTTGGGGTGGTGGTGACGGCCCCACTTGAGCTGGCTGTGTGAAGTCAGGAAAACAGATCACCTTTGTGTATGTGTGTACGTGTGTGTGTGTGTGTGTGTGTGTGTGTACGTGTGTGTGTGTGTGTGTGTGTTTGAGCATTCATGCACTGGGGACTGGTTTATCCTAACCTTCCATTGAACTCCACCTCTAGGTCCTGAGCCTTGAAGTTTGTGTGCATCAGGATGCTGGCAATCTCTAAACACCCACTCCTGTGTTCAGGAAATTGTGTGCCTAGCACAAGTCATTGAATCACTTTATTAACAGTGGCAATGAGGGGGCTCAGCAGTCAAGCATTGGCTACTCTTGCAGAAGACTCACATGGCTGTCTGTAACTCCAGTTCTACGGGATCCATTGCCCTCTTCTGGCCTCTGTGGGCATTGCATACATATGGTGCACTTACATACACATAAAAGAAAAAAACAGTGGCAATTTGCTCTTTGGATTTAAGTCGATGACTATGCATGCTAGTGATAAGGCAAGGTCTTGTAGGAAGGAACAGAAGTGCTGGCCTCAAGCAAGTGCCAGAAATATGCAATGGGTAATGGGGAAGGCTACATGTAAACCAGGGTGACCTCAGAGGACTTCCTAGAAGAGGTGATAGATGACCCTAGTCCTGGTAATGAGGAAGAAGGACAGTTGGGAAGACTAGGGAAGAACCTTTCAGAATGAGAAAATGCTGTGGAAGGAGGCCTGAAGGTGGGTGGGGCACACAGATGTTTAAGGAGGGGTGAGTTGAGATAGGGGTGTGGCTTAGTTTACTTCCAGGGCTTGGGAGGCCGAGGCAGATGGATCTCTGTGAGTTCAAGGTCAGCCTGGTCTACATAGTGAGTTCCAGGCTGGCTGGGGCTACAGGGAGACTGTGTCTCAAACACACACACACACACACACACACAAAAAAAAAAAAGATTACCTAGAATCCTCAGTGAGAAGATGGTAGTGTTTAAAAGCACTGGCTGTTCTTGCAGAAGATCCGAGGAGTTTGTATCCCAGCACCCACATGATGGCTAACAACTGTCAGCAACTTCAGTTCCAGGGGATCTGATGCCCTCTACTGTCCTCCACAGGCACTGCACAACATGTGTGCACCTATGCACACACAGGCCTAACACTCATACACATAAAATAAAAATAATTTTTTTTTTGAGACAGGGTCTCCCTGTTGTGGGGCTGGCCTGTAACTCATTATGTAGGCCACGCTGACCTTGAAATCACAGAGAGACACCTGCCTCTGCCTCCCAAGTGCTGGGATCAAAGGTGTGCGCCACCACACCTGGCCAAATAAAACTAAATTAATAAAAAGTAAATAAGAAAGAATACCCCTGGCTGGGTGTGGTGGCACACATCTTTAATCCCAGCACCTGGGAGGCAGAGGCAGGTGGATCTCTGTGAGTTCGAGACCAGCCTGGTCTACATAGTGGGTTCCAGGACACGGGGTGGGGGTGCCTAGAGGTAGAGATCCTGCTTAGCATTTGAAAGGCCTTGGGTTCAGAAAAAAGATCCAGGAGGTGACTTCACTGGAGTGAGATAGTTGGAGGAGTGGGATGTGGAGTGCAGAGGACCCCTTCTTACTCCTTAGGGCAGTTTGCAGTTGGAGTAGTTTTGCCCAGAAGGAGCCGTGTTAGGGTGGGAATCAGTCTCTTTCCTAGCTGTCATAGACAACTGTTTTCTCATTATCACATTTAAATAATTAATTATGCATGTATGTGTAGAGCATGCGTGTGGTGGCCATGGAACACACTGGCTGAAGCCCTCCCTCCTTCCACCGTGTGGGTTCCAGAGATTGAACTCAGGTTGTCAGGCTTGGTGGCAAGCCCCTTTATCTGCTGAACCGTCTCACACACACACACACACACACACACACACACACACACACACGCCGTTTTTTTAAAGTGCTGGGATGGAACCCAGAGCCACCCATGCTAGGCAGACCCTCTGTCCCTGTGCTATACCAAGCCTCTGAGTAGGATATCTGATAGATGACTTTCACAAGTATTCCTGGTCTAGCCTCTACCAACATGTTAACTCCCCAAATCCCATACCCACTGAGAGCTACAGTCCTGGAGGCTGAGTAGAACTGAGTCACAGGGACTGGGTACTGCTGGGCTTCAACCTGTGGCCTGGTATTTCTACAAACCTTGACTTAGAATCAATAACATGGCTCAGATGAAAAGGCTGGGCAGTTTGGCAGTTTCCAGAATCCCCAGGGGAATCTGTGGGGATGAGTTCAATTACCCAATGGGAAGGCAGCCCAGCTGTGTTTCTTGTGCTGCAGGGCATCATGCTGGGAAGGGAGTTGGGGAGCTCGTTGGGGAACCTGAAGGGGGATGTCAGACTTACCAACTGCTAAAAGTAGGACAGTCCAGGGCATCTCCACACCTGCGTTGGGCGGGGAAACTTGGCGGAGGCCACGACCTGGGGCTCCCTGCCAACGCTGAGACCAGAGTAGAGAAAGGAGAAGCGATGGCTTATTCCGAGTGTTTCCTCAGTGGCAGGAAGTTGCACATATGCTTGGGCACCAAAAAGGGACTCCATCCTGTCCCCACCCCTTCCCCAAATGCACAGACAGCCACACAGCACTCTGCAGCCTTTCTGGATACAGTTCTGAGCATTGAAGGCTTCTTCCTCCCTCCAACCCAGAGGGTTGCTGAACATGTCATTGGGCTGTAGGGAAACCCCTCTCTGACCCACACTAACTAGTAGCAAAGCTGAAATGTGCAGTGGCCATGGTGGCAGTTGGGGGTCAAGGCTTGCCCTTGGTCTGAGTTCTGGAAGCTTCAGTATGTTGCTCTTGAGGCAGGCTAAGTGTAGTATACTTTAGATTAAGGAATGCATGAGGGCAAATGCAATGTCTTAGGTAGGGGATGTGACTCAGTGGAAGAGCCACTGCCCAAATCCTCCAGTGAGGGGCTGGGGCATAGCTCAGAGGTGGTGGCCCTTCCTAGGAACCCCTAGTGAGCGGCTGGGGGCATGGCTCAGGGGTAGAACCCTCGCCTAGAATCCCCCAGTGAGGGGCTCTGGGTGTGACCCAATGGTAGGATGCTCTCTATACCTTCCAGAGGTTCCTGTCTAGTGGTTTGTGAGATTTCCAGAGAGCAGCTTTGGAGAAACTAAGAGGTTTACCAGCTCATTGAAGGAGACAATAAAACACATAGCTGGGTACATTGCTTACTCCATACATTTCCAAATTAATGATACATTTCATTTAGTATCCCAGAGGGATCCTGCCTCAGAAGAACAAAAAACCAAGCCAGCACCGTACAGCACTCAGGAGGCAGAGGCAGACAGATCTCTGTTAGAGTAAGGCCTGGCCTGCCTGGGGAATTCCAGGCCAGCTGGGCTAGATGAAGACCATGTCTCAACAACAACAACAACCAAAACAAAACAAAAGCTCTCTTCTTCCAGGAGTGCAGTTAGGTAGTGGGAGACCCTTGGTGCCTTCCAACTGCTCAGCATAAAGCAAACCACAAAGATTTCTCTGATGTCTGGCTTGAAAGTCACCCTTCAGTTCATTTTTGTGGCTTGCTGGTGGGTGTGCAGGAGGAGTTCAGACAGATTCCTGGTCTGTTTATTCTAACAACTGAGAGTCACCAGCAGCCAGACATGCTGGGTACCAGAGACGCTGTGAAAGGTGAACAGGTCCACCCTTGGAGGACCTGTGAGTGGGACAGGAAGATGAGTTTCTAGCTGAGGAAGGACTATGACAGAAGTCACAGTGAGTCTCAGAAGGATCCAGTTGAGACAACAGCACGTCCTGGCAAGGAGAGGAGGGCCGGGCATTTCAGAGTGCAGAATGATTGCAGGGAGCACGTGGATGATGGTATACTTTCATCTTTGGACAATTCAATTTGTTGTAGGAAACAATAATTGAGCATTTAAATTTTTATTTAGCTGGGTATGGTGGCACATATATTTAATCCCAGAACCAGGAAGGCAGAGGCAGGTAGATTTCTGTGAGATCAAGGCCAGCCTGGTCTACATAGTGAGTTCCAGGTCAGTTGGGGCTACAGGGATACCTTGTCTCAAAACAACATCAAAAAATCTTATTTATTCACTTTGTGAATTATTTATTTAATTATATTTATTTTACATGTATGAGTATTTTACCTGCATGTAAGTGCACCATGTGTGTGCAATGCCCATAGTGGCCAGAAGAGGACATCAGATCCCCTAGAACTGGAGTTACAGTTGTTAGTTGCAGATGCTGGGAACTGAACCTCTTCAAAAGCAGTCAGTGCTCTTAACTGCTGAGTTTTCTCTCCAGCCCAAGATTTATTTTTTTATTTTATTTACATGTGTCTTTCTTTTTCTCTTTTTCTCTTTCTTTCTTTCTTTCTTCTTTCTTTTCTTTCTTTCTTCTTTTTCTTTCTTTCTTTCTTCCTCTCTCTCCTCTCTCTCTTTCTCTATCTCTCTTTTTCTTTTTTTTTTTTTTTTTCCAAGACATAGCCCCAGGTGGCCTGGAACTCACTATGAGACCAGGCTGGCCTCACTCACAAAGATCTGCCTGCCTCTGCCTCCCCATTGGTCCTGGGGGCCAAAGTAGCAAGTGCTATAACCATTAAGCCATTGATCCAGTCCCTGCCTTTTTTAAAAAACAAATTTGTTTTTCATTATTGCATCTCTCTCTCTCTCTCTCTCTCTCTCTCTCTCTCTCTCTCTCTCTGTGTGTGTGTGTGTGTGTGAGTTTGAGGTCAACCTGGGACATGAAACCTTGTCCAAAAAAGAAACACAGCAAAACAACAAAAGAATGGGGGGGGGGTAATAGGACTGAGGAGATGGCTCAGCAAAGTGCTTGTCTTGTAATCACAGGGCCCAGAGGTAGTTCTCCATAATCCATGTTAAAAACCAAGGTTTAGGCCAGGTGAGGTGGCATATGCCTTTAATCCCAGCACTCAGGAGGCAGAGGCAGGTGGATCTCTATGAGATCTATGCAGGCATGGGCTACACAGTGAGATTGAGGCCAGCTGGAGCTACACAGTGAGAGCCTGTCTCAAAAACAAAGTGTGCTGGTCTGTGCTTGTAATCCCAGAGCTGGAGAGCTGGTGAATCCTTAGGGCCTGGTATCCAGCCAGTTTAACCTACTTGTCAAACTCTAGGACAGCAAGATACTTTATCTGTCATAAACAAGGTAGATGGCAACTGAGGGGTCATACTCAGGTTGTCCTCTAGTTTCTGCATGCTTGTGCACATATGTGCAATCAGACACCCTCCACAAACCTGTGACAGGAGTCTTGTGCAGGCTGGAGGGAGACCAACAATTGCTGCCACACCCTGGGCTATATTGTTGCCCCAAGCTTGGTATCTATGAGGAGGAAGATGCTGGGGGAGTTAATTGCCAGACTGCTGTCACTGTAGGCTTTTGTAGCCAGATAGAAACCAGTAATTCAGCAGCCAGGGGTGATGGCTAATCTCAATTGTCAGTTTGATTGGTAATTGTTGAGTGTGATGGTACAGCCCTCGAATCCCAGCTCTCAAGAAGCTAAGGCGAGAGGATGGTGAGTTCCAAGATAGCCTGGGCTCTGTAGCAAGACCATATCTTAAAAACAAAACAAAACTTTAAAAAACAAGCTGGGTATGGTAGGTGATGTATGCCAGGAATTCCAGCACTTGGGAGGTGGAGACAGGAGAAGGTGTTTAAAGTTCATCCTTGGTTACATAGGGAGTTTGAAAGTAGCCTGGGCTATATTGGACTCTGCCTCAAAAACAAAAACAAGGAAGCTGGGTGTGATGGCACACACCTTTAATCACAGCATTTGGGAGGCAGACACAAGAGGATCTCTGTGAGTTCGTGGCCAGCCTAGTCTACATAGTGAGTTCCAGGCCATCTGGGACTACAGGGTGACCCTGCCTCAAGACAAAAAACAAAAAAAAAAAAGAAAACAAAAACCATAGGGAGGTCCAGGTCAGCTTGGGTTACAGGGAGATCCTGTTTTGTTTTTTTAATGCTTGAGTATTAGGAAATAGCAGTAAATAGGTGCTTACTTAAAAAAAAAAAAAAAAACAAGCATAGAGCTGGAGAGATGACTAGGCAGTTAAGAACAGTAAATGAATAATTATAAAGAAAAGAAAATCAGGAACAAAAACAAAACGGGAGGGCAAGATGACGTACCAAGTAAAAGAGCCTGCTGCCCAGCCTGACAAGCTGAGTTCAACTCCAGGGACACCCATGGTGAAGGTAGAGAACCAAATCGGGAGTCATTCTCTAATCTCTCCATACATGCCCAAGCCGCATGTGTCTGCCTATTTTCTCTCTCTCTCTCTCTCTCTCTCTCTCTCTCTCTCTCACACACACACACACACACACACTTAATAAATAAACAAATAATATAAGAAATGGGTATTCCCCTTTTGGAATTCTTCCTACACTCATGACTTTTTTCCTCTATTTTGTTTGTTTATTTATTATTTTTGTTTTATGAGTGTATTCCCTGCATGTATGCAAGTACATCCATGTACTGAAATGCCAGGGGAGGTCAGAGGAAGGCCTTGGATTCCCCTGGAACTGGAGTTATGAATGATTGTTAGCTGCCATGTGTGTGCTGGGAATCAAACCCAGGTCCTCTACAAGAGCAGCCCATGCTCTTAACTGCTGAGCCATCTCTCCAGCCCCATATTTTTGGTTTTTGAGACAGGGTCTCCCTATAACCCAAGCTGGCCTGGAACTCATTATGTAGAAGAGGCTGGCCTCGATCTCACAGAGATCCGCCTGCCTCTGCCTCCCGACTTCTGGTATTAAAGGTATGTTCCTGCCCTAGTTTGCTTTCTCTTGCTGAGATAACCAGGACCAAACCCAACTTGGTGAGGAGAGGGGTTATTTCAGCTCACAGCACATTCCTTCATGGAGGGAAGTCAGGGCAGGAGCTCAAGCAGGAACCATGGAGGAATGCTGCTTACTGGCTTGCTCTCCTGGCCTGTGTTCAGCCTGCTTTGTAATCCAGAACCACTTGCCCAGGGATGGCACCACTCACAGTGGGCCAAGCCCTCCCACATCACTCAACAATTAAGAAAATGCCCACAGACATGGCCACAGGCCAGTCAAGTAGAAGAAATTCCCAACTCAGGTTCCCTCTTCCTAGGTGTGTCAAGTAGACAACTGAAGCTATCTAGCATAGTGCCATCATACATGACTTTATTATATTATTTGTTTATTTATTGTGTGTGTGTGTGTGTGTGTGTGAGAATAGGCAGACACATGCTTGGGCATGTATGGAGAGATTAGAGAATGACTCCCGATTTGGTTCTCTACCTTCACCATGGGTGTCCCTGGAGTTGAACTCAGCTTGTCAGGCTGGGCAGCAGGCTCTTTTACTTGGTACGTCATCTTGCCCTCCCGTTTTGTTTTTGTTCCTGATTTTCTTTATAATTATTCATTTACTGTTCTTAATTGCTTAGTCATCTCTCCAGCTCTATGCTTGTTTTTTTCAAGTAAGCACCTATTTACTGCTATTTCCTAATACTCAAGCATTGCATCTGAATGAAAGTGAAACTTTGTATGAATAGACTATACTTAGAAACTTAACCTTCAAAGTTGTGCAAGGGAAAGAGCTGACAAGCACTGGCTTTGTTTGAAGAGCAATTATCCCTAGCTACCAACTTCTTTTCCTGTGTCTTTGAAAGATAAAGATTTCCGTCTAAACAACTCCCTCATATGTTTATTCGGGACCCCCAAGACGTATCCAGTTGTCCAACTATGTTTCTGCGTATCTGTCTGCTTCAAAATGAAATGCGGTGACCCCTGCAGCCTGACATAGAAACAGCTAATAGGTCTACTTACAGTGTCTGAGATGCTGCCACAAGCTTTATCTTGGTCGTTATAAGTTCCATGGGCTGGGATTATTACTACCATTTGTGGGCAAGGAAACTAAGGCATAGCAGGATGATCACCTCATTTATATTTTATTTGTATTGTATGTGTATGGATGTTTTGCCCGTGGAGGCCAGAAGAGGGCTTCAGATCCCCTGGAACTGGAGTTGACAGACGGTTGCTAGATGCCATGTGGATGCTGGGAATCGAAACTAGATCCTTTGCAAGAACAGCCAGTGATCTAACCACTGAACAAGCTCTGCAGCCTCTGTGTTATGGAAGTCCTATGGGTCACCAACAAGGCCACGCACAGTGGCTTAATACTGGCCAGCTCCGCCCACACAGGATTGACTAATGAGTTCCGGGAGCCTGAAAACTGGGATCAAACCACAAATAGGCGCCTAAGAAGGACCCTCAACTCTCCCATTGAGTCCTCTAAGTCTTTGCCTGTAAAAGGTGCGTCATCATGTCATTCTGTCGTGCCCCATCATCGCCCTACAACGACTGATAATAGATCTAGGGAATTTTCGGGAAAGTTTGAGTCGACGTCACTTAGCTTTCAGTCAGATTAGGCATTAATTCGGGCAGCTTTTTTCGGAGGGGTCCTTCATGAGGCGTTCCGCCGCTTTCGGACCGGGGACTAAAGCCTCAGCCAATGAAGTTAGCGAAGAAGCGGAGTGGGCGGAGCCAGTTCTTAAAGGAACCGCGTCCCATTAGCAGAGCAGAGGGTGCCTGGGATGATGGCGGCCGGCGCGGCCCTGGCCTGGGCCCTGTGGCTACTGCTGCCGGCTGTCGGGCTGGGGGCTGGGGGCCCACCGCCCATCCAGGATGGTGAATTCACCTTCCTTCTGCCCGCGGGGAAGAAGCAGTGTTTCTACCAGGCCGCGCCGGCCAACGCGAGTCTGGAGACCGAGTACCAAGTGAGAAGGGTCCCAGGGTTGGGGGCGCAACCGGGCGTCGGCGGGCGGGACGTGGTCAGTAGGTGGGCGTGGCCAGCCCTCGGGGTGTGGCCGGCACCCTAGACCAGATCTGCTTTGAAGGTGGCGAAGCCAGGCTTGGGAGGGGAAGGAGAGGGATTCGGTGGAGGCGGGGCTTGTAGTTAGCGGGAAATCCAGAGAACCACTCAGAAGGGGTGATCCCTGCGGATGGGCGTGGCCAGTGAGAAACTCAATCAGAAAGCTGGACCCTTGTGAGTGGGCGGAGCGAATGAGAAAGCCAAATAAAAGTCAGGAACCTCGCTGGACAGCATGACCTTTCGAAAATTCTAAGATCTAGAAGGTAGGATCGACTGAGATAGGCGTGGCCAGTGGGAAATCCAAAGCAATCAAGTCAGGACCGTGGCTGGTGGGCGTGACTAAGCGGCTTAGCTTTAAAATTAGGCACATCCTGGGTGGGTGGGGCCAGTGGGAAATCCAACGAACCAATCAGAAGGCACGACTCTCTGGATGGGCATTCTAAAGAACCACTTAGAACGCAGGACCACTGCGTGTGGGTGGGACCAGTGGGAAATCCCAAGAACCAATCAGAAGGTAGGGTCAGTGGGACCTCTTTAGAACCAATCAGAAGCCAAGACCGTTGCGGGTGGGCAGGGTCAGAATGTTGGGGTGTGGTCTACACCAGAGTTTATGGGGTTGGGTTCAAGGCAGGTCTCTGGGCACCTACTCTCGTGGGAGCCAATCTAAAACCTTTAGCCAGGTAGACATCCATCAGAGATTTCACATGTGGATGTGGCCTGATGAAAGACCCCACCCCGAGGTGTCTTAAGAACTAGGGTGGAGACTGAGGGACAGTTGGGGCAGAGGACCAGGTGTAGAGAGTAAAGGTGCTTGCCACCAAGCCTAATGATCTGAGTTCGATTCCTAGAATCCCATGGTGGAAGGAGAGAACCGACTTATGCAGGTTGTGCTCTGATCTCCAGACTTGCCCCCCACCCCCAAATAAACACGTTAAGAAAAACAGCTAGGCCCTTGATGGTCTGTTATCTTTGCTTGACTAATCCCCACCTCTCACCCAGTCCTACCTGCTCCCTAGGTAATTGGAGGTGCTGGTCTGGACGTAGACTTCACGTTGGAGAGCCCCCAGGGTGTGCTGTTGGTCAGTGAGTCTCGAAAGGCTGATGGGGTGCACACGTGAGTTCATTTCTGCTGCCTATCTGGGTTCAGTTACAGCCCCGCCACTCCTCGGTGGCCTCGGGTTACTATCCTACCTGCTCTAGAAACTGTGCTGGCCAGCCATTCTAGGGTCATGTCTGTGTCTTGTCTGCCCATCCAGGGTGGAGCCTACAGAGGCCGGGGACTACAGGCTGTGCTTTGACAACTCCTTCAGCACTATCTCTGAGAAGCTGGTTTTCTTTGAGCTCATCTTTGATAGTCTCTTGGATGAGGAAGAGGTAGAGGGCTGGGCAGAGGCTGTGGAACCAGAAGAGATGCTAGATGTCAAAATGGAGGACATCAAGGTAAGCTCTGGCCAGGCAGGGACCACTTCTTCCTGATGTCTACCAGTAGGCACCCTTCTTTGGGTAGGATCTCCCCCTTGGCCTGACTCAGTATCGCTAGCTTAATTTTATAATAGCAATGTATTTAAAACAGTAGCTTAGGGCTGGAGAGATGGCTCAGCAGTTAAGAACACTGTTCTTGCAGAAAACCTGGTTTCGAATCCCAGCACCCACATGGCAGCTAACAACTGTCTGTAACTCCAGTTCCAGGGGATCTGACAGCCTCTTCTGTCCTCTGTGGGCATTGCATGACACAGGTGCACTTACCTACATGCAGGCAATACACACATACACATCAAATAATAAATAAATATGAAAAAAAATTAAAAACAACAACAAAAAAACCCCCAGTAGCTTAGCCAGGTGTGGTGGCACATGCCTTTAAACCCAGCAGTGGGGAGGCAGAGGCATGCAATCTCTGTGAATTCAAAGCCAGCCTGTCTCAAAAAGGCCATTTCTTTTTAAAAAATTGTATTTTTATGTATGAGTGTTTTGTCTGCATGTATGTAAGTACACTATGTGCATGCAATGCCTGTGGAGACCAGAAGAGAGCACTGGATCATCTGTACCTAGAGGTACAGATGGTTAGCTGCTATGTGGGTACTGTCCTCTGCAAGAGCAGCCAGTGCTCTTAACTGCTGAGCCAGCTCTCCAGCCCCTAAACTTCATACTCATTTATTTTTGAAGACAGGGTCTCCCTCTAGCCCCAGCTGGCTTGGAACTCACTATGTAGACCAGGGTGACGTCAAAAAAAGAATGCTGGGATTAAAGGTATGCCACCCCTTGTGGCCAGAGCTGGTATTTAAATATCGTTACTGTGGCTTCTTCCACTACTGTTAATCACTAGTAAGTTTGTTTTGTAGCCTTATTTAAGCTTTTCTCTCTTTTTGGTGCTGAGGATTGAAACCAGGGCCTACTATATGATAACCATATGTTGTACCACTGAACTACACCCTGAACACTAGATGTTCAATTTTCATAGCAATAGAGTCGAGAATGGTGATACATGCATGTAATTCCAGCATTCAGAAGGATTGCAGTGAATTCAAGACCAGCTTGGGCTACATAGCAAGACCCTACCTCCAAAAAACCAAGAAAAACGGCTGGACATATGATATGCTCAGGCGGTAGAACCCTTGCCTAGCATGCACAAAATCCTGGCTTCTGTTCCCAGCACTGCATAAACTGGGTATGGGTGGGTGACATATGCTTGTAATCCCAGTACTGGGGTGGTAGATGAAGGAGGATCACAAATTCAAGGTCATCTTTGGCTTGCACAGCAAGAAAACACCAAGCTTAAAAAATGCCGGGGGTTTCCTGAAGAGGATGAGACCAGAGAGGTTAACTTGTTGATGGTCACATAGTTTGTGAGTGCTGAGTGGTAAGGGTAAGGATCAATTAGGCAGCCTGGCCAGTTGTTTTACTCCTCTCCTGGCGCCCCAGTAGGAATCCATTGAGACTATGAAGACACGGCTAGAACGGAGCATCCAGATGCTGACATTGCTTCGGGCTTTTGAGGCTCGTGATCGAAACCTGCAAGAGGGCAACCTGGAGCGGGTCAACTTCTGGTCTGCGGTCAACGTGGCTGTGCTGCTGCTGGTGGCTGTCCTACAAGTCTATACACTAAAGCGCTTTTTCCAGGACAAGCGTCCTGTGCCCACGTAGCCCCTGTGACGGACAATGAACAATCAAGCAAACCAGGGCAGGCGGGTGTGACTTGGGGGACATCCCTCCCAGGTTCTGTGCAGTCAGGTCCTCAGCTGTGGCACCTCGTGTCTTCCTTCTGGGTGGGCAGCAAGTCCTGATGGCCTGCAGGCCCCCTTGAAAGGGGATGACCCAGCAGCAGCACCTGTTTTCTGGAAGCTGGATGTGGTGGGCACTGCGGCCCTTGGGTGCCCTGGTTCCCTCCTCAAACAGTGCCTTAGCTCAACTCATCCAGCCAGCAAGATGGGGTTCCCCCTAGATGGACACTCTCTGAGGCCCAATGAGGGAGCCCCATGCCTTTGCTTTGCTCCTGGGTTTGGATGCGTTAGCCTGTTTTTGTTGTTTTGTTTGTTGTTTTTTTGGTGGTTTCTAATTGTTTATGACAAATATTCCCCAATTTACTCTGGGCAGTTCTTTCAAACAATTCAGTCAGCCTTTGCCAATCTAAGAATAGAATCATATGACACCCAATTCTGTGAATGGCCCCGCAGATAACATAGGTTTCAAACTGGCCATTAAACTGGCCAGTTACCATGTCAACCTCAGCCATTCATCTGGATGGATGCATGGTTCTTCACACCAGTGATGCAGTAGCTTGCAGAACATTTCTGCAGCACATACAGGTCCACAAATTTGCCGGCGTCATTTTGCATATGCTGTACCCCTGCTTCCTCCAGGTTCAGCATGAATGCAAAAAGCTGTTTTTTGTCTTTTTGTGACAGTCGCCCTATAGCCCCAGCAGGCCTGAAACTCCCTATGTAGACCAGGCTAGCCTGGATCTCATAAAGATCTGGCTACCCTTGCCTCTATAGTGCCAGGATTAAAGGCATGTCCTGCCACACTGGGCTTTTTTGTTTGTATTTTTATGGGCCAGCCTGTTTTACCTGGGGCTGGGAAGGAGACACAGTGGCAGAGTTCCAGCCAGGACAGTCACTTTTATTTGACAGGAAGGGGACCTGGCCCCTCTGCTCAGTGGGGGATCTGGTAACACAAGTCCAGGAGAGGACCCATTCCTCATCTCCCTGCAGGATTTCAGACAGGGACGAGAGGCAACTGGCCAAAGCCTGCCCAGGAGTTGCCAGGAACAAAGGGTGCCTGGCCTGGGCACTGGAGTCAATAAATTATGGTCAGAAAAATCAACCACCTGGTGACTGGGAATCAGGGACACCAGGTTGGGACAGACCGGCCCTCAAGACGGGGCAGCCAGGCAGGCGGGAGGGCTCTCCCACGAAGCTCAGAAGAAAGGTCTGGCAGGAGCCGATGGAGGAGGTCGCCTGGCACAAAGAAAAAAATCAGAAAGCAAAGTTTAACTGTGTCCCTGGTGGAGCCAGAAGGGGACCCGGAAGTGGGGGGTTGCGCTTGGTCAAGGTATGCTTTGAGGTCGTTGTGGCTATCAGTCCTGAGTCGAGGTGGTGCCATCTATCAGGCCTGATGTATAGATAGTGGCAACCTGCACAAATGGGGATGTTTGTCTCCCATTCCTGAGATAGAGAGGGGTTTCCCAGGAGCATGTGACAGGGTGATCCCCCCACGTCCTGAATGAATGTGGGTGGCCTCAAGGGGGTCCTGCCATACTGAGAGTGGACAGTCTCACCCCCCCGCTGGGACAGAAACACAAAAGGCCCACACAAAGCAGCTATCAGAGGCTCTTCCCTTTATTTTAGTTTATTAATAGGATATACAGTGTGCAGGCACTTACAGTGGTCAAACTGAGCAAGGCAGGAACAAGGTCACAGAGAGGCACCAAGGCCCACCCTGTTCCAGAGGACTGAGAAGAGCGTGAGGCCTAGTGGAACTGAATAACTCCAGCCTGATGAAGGCACCTCTGGCCAAGGTTGGGTCCGGCTCAGGATGTACGGTTAATATGGCCAAAGAAGTATGTACAACTCAAGCCAGGGGGCTGCCAGCGTGGGGCCCACTGGGCCTGGCTTGCTCCTGAGGAGCCTCTAGAAGAGTGGGCAGTCCCTTACACCCTAAGAAGGGCCAAAGGCTTACAGACAGGCCTTTGGGGGTTCTGGCTTCTGCAAAGTTCTTGGTGAAGTCCCTGCCAGGGTCCCTCCCCACCCCAGCCTGGATCTTTCCATATGGTCCCAGGGTGCCATTACCACTCTCCCAACCAGAAACCCCATGTTCCAAAGTGCAAAGCGCCCATATGCTGTGGTTCCCAGGCCCCTTCAGTGGTGTCTGCCAGGGATAGGAGGGAAGGGGCAGGGTTTGTCCACAGGGAGCCTGGTCCCGTTTGGGGGCAGAGGGGCCCAGACCACAGGAAGCTCCTGCACTGCGAGTACACAAGGCCCCCAGAGAACATGCCCCCAGGTGGCCTAGTCTAGTAGGGAGGGCTCAGCTGGGCGGATAATGGTGGGCCGGCTGGGTGCAGCGGGGGGTCTCCTGCTGCAAAGAAAAAGACAGATGGAGAGGAGGGCAGTGAGGCTGGAAGCAGGGCAAGGATGGGGACCCAGACCACCCACAGTGCCCCTGAGCTGGGGTTCCAGGAGAGAGTCTGCCAGACCTAAATGTTTCCCCTGGCCAGGTGAGTTCCTTGCACTTGAGGGGAGTTGGTTCTCTCCTTCCACCATGTGGGTCTCGGGAATTGAACTCTGGTGGTGAGACTTAGTGGAAAGCACCTTTACAGGCTGTGTCTTGCCAGCCCTCTGTGCGCTTTGGACCTTAGCATAACTCAGAAGTAGGAAGACAAGAATCTGGCTTGCCAGGCACATAGGACCTCAGTAAGGTCAAAGATAAATGGTGGCATTTGTCTTGGGTGCAGGTGGCCTACCAAGTCAAGGACAAGCCAGGAGCCCTGGAGTCTGCAGACCCATTGTTCTGGGGCATTGGCTAAGGGGCTGGCCCTCTGGGCCTCAGTGGGATGCCCATGTTATATTCTATGCTGTCAAACCCATGATGGAAGCCACCAGGAGGGAAGGAGTTGAAGTGTCTGAGAGACCCCAGTTTGGACTGCAGGCCTTACCTGGGAACTCCTGGGGGAATGCCAGGAGGGATCCGAGCTGGCCGAGATGGGATCTGTGGCGGGGCTGAGAAGGGGTCATTGTTGGCAAACACACTCTGGGGTCCAGGCCGGGATGGGATGGGGGGCGCTGAGAAGGAGGCTGCAGCCCCCACAGGCAGAGGAATCAGGGGAGGCCCTGGTGTGGGGCCCCGCACTGCAGGAGGCCGGCCAGGAGGGTGTGCACTGGACACAGGTCTGCGTTGTGGAGTGGGGCTGTGAGGGAAGGAGGGAGAGGCTGTGAGCTCCCACGGTGAGGGTGAGAGTCCTCTAACCTGACCCATACCTGGCACTGATATTCTCTCACCCTCTACTACTTGGGGGCTCCTCCTTTGCTCATGTCAAACTTCCCACGGGGGCAGGTGTGTCTCCCGTATCAGACTGCATCTGGATCTCTAATGATGCCCTCACAGGGGCTCAGGAACTTTCCAGAGCTCAGCCCTTGCCCTCAATGCCTTTTAGTCTCTGCATGGAGGGACCTGCAGTTTCCTCAAACTAGAAGGTGTCTTCCCTGAGGGCTAAGGTGTTCTGCAGTTCCAGTGGGCCACCACACACACACAGTATGGATGCTCAGATCTCCCCAGCCCATGCCCCTCCACAGCAAGGCCAGTGGCATCCCAGATTCTATGGGGCACCTATGAGCTGGTAGGTTGTGATAGTTGAGCTGTTTCCCATCTAGAACTTTCCACAGGCCCTTTTATGTGTTTTAGGAGGCTGACCCCTCTGGTGGCTGTCCCCTGGACCTCTTGCTTTTGGTTTCACTTGGGTTTAACCCATAGAAAGTACTAGGAAGCAGGAAGGTTGGAGGAAGAGAACTGGGGAGTGTTGACTCTGATGGGTACTTTGAGGCCATGGCTCCCCTGGTGGCTTCAGGTAGGGCTCAGCTTAGGCCTGTGTGTTGCACTGTCCGGGGTTAGCCTCTTGCCCTGCCCACCTATGGGTGGGTTGTGTTTTGTCTTCTGCTGGGAGGCAGAGGGCACAGGAAGGGAGCTGAGGACTAGCACAAGGCAGCTTCTGTGACATATGGGGTCTCCCAGACCTGTGGCTGCTGGTATTTTGGAGCCAAGTGTCATCAACTGGTGGGGGCACAGGCGTGGACACCGTACTGGTGCTGATGTCCCCGATGATGTTGAGTGCCTCTTTGAGTGCATGATACATGCGCAGCATGTCGTCCCGCCGCTGGGCCTGCTCCGCAGACTCTTCCATAAGACTGCTCTGGTCTGATGAGGAGTACAGGTAGGCTAGCAGCTCATGGTGGATGAAGGCTTTTGTCTGAGGACAAATGTGGGAGAGGTCAAGCCTCCAACACACCAGCCAAGACTTCAGTGGCCTACTGTTACTAGAAAAGCATCCATCATAGGCTGAACACCTGGCTCAGAGGTAGAGTCCCTGTCTAGAATTCCCCAGTGAAGGACTGGGGGCATGGGTTAGGGGTCGAGCCCCTGCCTAGAATCACCTGAGGGGATGGGGTATGACTCAGTGGTAGAGCTCTTGTCTAGAATCACCTAATGAGGGAGTGAGGCATGGGTCAGGACAGAGTCCCTACATATCGACTCCCCCATGAAGAAGCTAAGGATGCAGCTTGGCAGTAGTGTTGTCCTACCATGTCCCAGGTTCAATAAAAAACAAAACAAAGCCAAACCCTAAGTTGTGACATGTTCTAACTTTGTGGAGCTTTTGTTTTTAATTTTTGTAAATTCATTATTATTGTGTGTGCATTATGTGTGGGTCTGCCACAGAATGCATGTGGAGATCAGAGGAGCTGATTCTCTCTTTCTACCTTTACATGGATTCTGGGGAATCAAACTCAGGTCTTCAGAATTGCTGAGCCTTTATCCTCTGATCCATCTTGTCTGCCCTGGTTTTAGGCATTGTTTTTTTTTTTAGAGACAGGGACTTAGTATGTAGTGCTGGCTGGCTTGGAACTTACTATGTAGACTAACCTGGCCTTGAACTCAGAAATCTGCTTGCCTCTGCTTTCCAGGTGCTACCACGCTTGGCTTGCTTTTAGTTTTTTTTTCCTGAGATAGGGTCTTCCTGTAACCCCAGCTGGCCTGGAATTCACTATGTAGACCAGGCTGGCCTCAAGCTCACAGAGATTCACCTGCCTCTGCCTCCTGAGTACTGGGATTAAAGGTGTGCGTCACCATGCCAGGCCTATTTTTTATTTTTTTGTGGATGCGTATACTGCCTGTATGTACATAAGTGCACCTGTGTTGTGCAATGCCTACAGGGGTCAGAAGAGGGAGTCGGATCCCCTGGAACTGGAGTTATGGATGGTTGTTAGCTGCCATGTGGGTGCTGGGAATCAAACCTGGGTCCTCTGCAAGAGCAGTCACTGCTCTCAACTGCTGAGCCATTCTCCAGCCCCATGGTTTTAGTTTTTTAAAGAGAGGGTCTCACATGGTCAGGGCTGCCCTCAAACCTGTTAGGTTGCTGGGGATGACCTGGAACGCCTGCTCCTCCGGCCTCCCCATCCTGAGTGCTGGGGTCACAGGCATGCTGTGCCACAGTTTCTGTGTAACAGGATGGAACCTAGCACTCTACCCACTGAGCAGCAGCTCTACTCCTTAGAGTGCTATGCATATGCCACTTACATTGTTGATCATGAGGTGCATGATGGTCTTGGGCATGAGGTCTCGGATGGATTTGTTGATGATGGCTACGTAGGAGTCCACAAGGTTTCGGATGGTTTCCACCTGCCGTTCCAGCTGTGGGTCCATGGAGAAGGTGTTTTCCTGCACCCCATCCTCGTTCTCTGTCTGTGGGAGACACCAGGAGGAAGGGCTCAGTGTGGTCTGGTCAGCCACGGCAAGTCCTCACTCTGGGGAAACAAGGTGCTTGTCTCACCAACAACTGACTTTCTGAGATGGTTTCTAACAGTCCTGTTAGAACCAGGGGGCCCTTGCTGCCCAGATCTGGGGTGACTGGCTCTAGCCAGGTTGGACCCCTTATCCTGGGGACAAGGATACAATGTCCAATTGGATGCCAAGGGCATCCAGTCACTCCACCCCAAGAGCAGGAAGAGGAAAACAAAACATGTAGACAAGATCCGAGTCCATGTGCCCCCCAGACTGTGGCTTTGACTGAAGAAATATCTGGATCCTGATGACAAACCATGGTTGTTCTGCTTTGATTGCTCAAGTGGGTGTCCGCTGTATGCAGTCTGAGGGTCCATGCCAATGTGGTGTGATAATTTGATGTGAGAGTTCCCTTGGGGTCAGATGGTAAAGCTCCGCCTGCTGGTGTGGTATTTAGACAGTTCTGCAAACTTCAGAAGTGGTCACTATGGGCATGTTACCCCCACTTTCATGCCTTCCCCTTTGTTTCCTGCTCACCAAATGGGGGAACCCTCCTCCACTCCACATTCCTACTGCCACAATTGGCTGTTCCAGCACATGGGGCCCAGCAGCATGTGCCTAAGCCCTCTGAAACCATGAGCCAAAATTAAACCTGTTTTCTCCTAAGTTGTATGTGTCAGGTTTTTGGTTTTTTTTTTTTTTTTTTTTTTTTTTTGAGACAGAGTCTCCCTGTAGCCCTGGCTGGTTTGGAATTCACTATGTAGATCAGGTTGCCCTTGATCTCACAGAGATCTGCCTGCCTCTGCCTCCTAAGTGCTGGGATTATAAGCACGTACCACCACACCTGGCTTCTCACTTTATTTTTTTTTAATTAAACTTATTATTTATTATTTGTTTTACATGTATGAGTGTATCACCTGCCTGCATATAAGTGCACCAGTGTTATGCAGGGCTCAGAAAGGTCAGAAAAGGGCATTGGATCCCCCGGAACTGGAGTGATAAATGATTGTTCTCTGCCATGTGGGTGCTGGGAACCAAACCCAGGTTCTCTGCAAGAGCAGTCAATGCTCCTAACTACTGGGCCATCTCTCCAGCCCCTCACTTTATTTTTTTGAGTCAGGGTCTCTCACTAGGACCTGGGATTAACTGATTTGACAAGGCTGTTTGGCTGGGCCAGCCCCAGAGATGCTCCCGTCTCTGCCTCCCCAGCACTGAGATTACAGATTTGCGCCACCATGCCTGGCTTTGGCTGAACTCAGGTCCTCATGCTTATGTGGCAAGCATTTTATTGCTGGAGCCTTCTCCACAGCTTCCACCAGGTATTTTAATCACAGCAAAGGAAAGCACACTGACACTGTGGCTCTTCCCACCCCTAGTTAGTCAGACAGGTGGCTCCTCACCTGGTCCTTCTCTGGGTAGACCCCAGCTCGGAGGAACGAGGCCTTCCAGCTGTCCACGTCCTCCTGGGAGTCACAGGCCAGCTCAATCTGTCGTAGGTCCTTGTAGACATTTCTGGGGTGGGTGGGAAAAGAGGCATGCCCTTGAATCCAACAGACTTGGCTGACTACGAAGAGTGTGGGTCTTGGAGCTCTTTGCCTGATCTGGACACACAGATGGTTCTAGTACCTTTCCCTATCCTGCTGAGGGACTGCTGGAACCATGCTTCCAGTCCCTCACTGGGGGATTCTGGGCAGAAGCTCCACCACTGAGGCATGCCCCCAACCCCTCATCGGGCAATTCCAGGCAGGGGCTCTACCTCTGGGACATACCTCCCAAACCCTAAGTGGGGGATTCTAGGAAGAGGCTCTACCTCTGGGACATACCTCCCAAACCCTGAGTGGGGGATTCTAGGCAGGGGCTCTGTTGCTGAGTCATAACCCAGGCCCTCATTGGAGGATTCTAGGCAGGGGCTCTACCTCTGAGCCATGCTCCCAGCCCCTCAATGAGGGAATTCTAATCAAGAGTCTCTGCTGCTGAGCCATGCCCCAAGCCCCTCACTGGGGGATTCCAGGCAGGAGTTCTGCCTCTGAACCATGCCCTCAGACCCTCACAGGTACATTAGAGGCAGGCACACATTATCTAAGCCACATCTCCAGCTTCTAGTACTGAAGGCCTCTGAGCATGAGGAATGAGACCAGGGCGAATTGGAAAGTCAGTAATGTGGGTATGGGTGTGTGCATGTATGCAGGCAGGTACCTGTGTGTGCATGCATGTAGGAGCCTGAGTTCAACATCAGATGTCTTTCTCAATTGCTCACCACCTTATTTTTTGAGCCATGGTCTGTATCAGTGGCCTGCAGCTTACTGATATGGCTAGAATGGCTGGTCAGTAGGAGCCAGGGATCCTGTCTCTGCCTCCCTTGCACTCTGCCTGGCTTTTGTATGTGGGTGCTGGGGATCAAACTTGAGTTCTCATGCTTACATAGTGCCCCAAGTCCTGCTTACTATACCACACACTAGCCTGCCCCACAAGCAGGTGGCCTGCATGTGACACCTGGGTGTGAAGCCAAACAAGGCCCCAAGGCACAGCTCTGACCAACCAGCAGTCAATGAGCAGCTGTCCAGACAGGATTTCTGAAAGGAGCCTGGAGGGGCAGGGCCCACCATTGTTCTTCTTCCTTTCAGTTATCTACAATGGCTGGAGCTTGTACAGTCTTCTTGGACACACAAGTGGAAGGCTTGAGAATCAAGAAGGTATCCTGGGTATCAATGCTTGTACAGCTGCAGCCACTTGCCTCAAGGGTAAAGTTTAGTCTTTTGTGTAGCAAAACAAAGGCATATTGATCTCGTCTCCACTGCTAGTGTTCAGGCTTTTCAGATCTCAGTGGTGCAGGGCTTGCCTACCCTGTGCAAGGTTCAGTGCAAAACAGCAACAAAGCTCATGTTATTGCTATTCCCCAAATCTCACATTGCCTAGGGTTCATTCCTCCATCCCAGACTCTGGGATCTCTGAGCTTTCTCCTTGAAAATTCTCGTGTCTTCCAGGACCCTCTCCATCAGCATAGACCCAGTTGTGTTCCTGACTGTCCCCAAGCCCATGCTGCCTTGCCATCCCTGTCTGAGCAACTGGTATCAGCTCAGGTCCTAGCCTCACTGTCACCATCATCATCTTTTCTCACCCCCCATCTGAGGACCAGGCTCCTACTCCTCTTCCTTCATGTCCTTGGCCCCTGGAAGCCTGTCTAGACTGTTGCCTTCCACAGAGACTAGCCCAGTACCATTGGCCATGTCCCACGAGTCTGTTACTTATGTAACCGCAAGAGGGCACACACCAGACCCAGAGCCAGGCCCTGTCCATCTCCACTGGCTGATTCCTCCACTGTTTTTACCTCACAGGATCTTCTCTTCATCTCAGTATCTCTTTCCTCCTCCCCTCCCACTTGTCCTTCCTCCCTCCCTCTCACTTCTCCCTCTATTAGACAAGGTCTCAAGTAGTTCAGGCTGGTCTTGAACTCCCTATATAGCTGAGGATGACCTTCAACACCTGATCTTCAGGCGCCCACCTCCCCAGTGCTGGGGAGGGTTGTGTGTATCACTACATGGCTCTATATCTCTCAATTTTTTTTTTTTTTTTAAGACAGGGACTCCCAGTAGCCCCAGTTGGCCTGAAACTCACTATGTAGATCAGGCTGGCTTCAATCTCACAGAGGTCCATCTGCCTCTGCTGGGATTTAAGGTATGCGCCACCACGCCCAGCTCTGTACCTCCTAGTTTATTCTGCTCATTGCAACCATCTGTGTCCCTGGTGCTCTGTCCCCTCCCTCAACCACACAGAAACGCCCATGGGGCAGCAGTCTTCAGTTTCCCACTGTACTGTTCTAGAATATGACACTCTGGGGCAAGGACTCAAGAGTGGGTACTCAGGTATCTGTGCAAAGTCTGGGAACAAGGTTGTTGGGCTGCCCCCAGCCCTGCTGGGGTCCCCATCGCCCCTCACCTCTGCTCTGTGTTGAAGATGGCGAACACATGCTTGTTTGACATGAAGCCCTTCTCCACGTCTCGGATCTTGAGGTTGTCCAGCGGCAGCATGTATTTCTTTTCTTTTTCCTAAGGAAGGAGGTGGGAGGGTGACCAGGGCAGACTGTACACTCCTGAAGCAACAGCCACCTGAGAGCCACCTCCTGCATCTGGCTAAGCACTGCATGTGGGCGGCTTTGCTGCCACCACTCTTTCCCTGGCTCCTTCAGCATTTCTGTCTAAGGCCTCTTCCCAGAATGTTCCTAACACACCCATAAGCTACCTTTTGGCCTCCTGGTCTGTATACACGAGGGGCCTTAGGGCTGACCCCACTCACCCCATCTTGGACACTATGCCCAGTGACCACCTGGCTGCCCCAGCAGTTTGAAGAAGGATGTCCATCATTTGTTTGTTTTTTTCTTGGTCTTTTTGAGACAGGGTCTCCCTGTAGCCCCAGCTGTCCTGGAACTCACTGTGTAGACCAGGCTGGCCTTGAACTCACAGAGATCGGCCTGCCTCTGCCTCCCAAGTGCTGGGACCACAGGCGTGTGCCACCACGCCAGGCCTATTTATGACTGTATTGCCTGTATGTAGGTAAGTGTATTCATGACGTGCAATGCCCGAGGAGGAGAGAAGAGGCTGTGGGATCCCCTGGAATTGGAGTTACAGACAGTTGTTAGCTGCCATGTGGGTGCTGGGATCCGAACCCGAGTCTTCTGCAAGAACAGCCAGTGTTCTTAACTGCTGAGCCATAGTGAAGGTCAGGGAGGGCACCAAGGTTCGTTTGGCAGGTGGGGGCGAGCCTGGAGACTCAACTTTGTATGCATGCCTAGCTAGGTACAAATGCTTGTCATGTTTTTCTGGGCTTGTCTTTGGACAAGCTGATCCTTCTCTATGTGCCCCTGTTCCCCACCTACCAAAGACTGATGAGTCCCTCCCTTGGAGTGGGGATAGGGACTGTCAGACTCTGGCCTCAGGGGTACTGATTTTTGCTCTAGCACTAAGTCATAGGTCAGCTTCACAGGGTTTGGTTGAGGACCCTGAGCGAAGTTTGGAGTTCAGGCAGAGGGGCCATAGCCTTGGAGGGTGGAGCATTCCCCAGACGCACACTACACACTGTGAGCCCAATTGGGAGGGGAGCTAGGAAAACCTGCCTAGTTGTGAAACACAATTCTTGGAATTTGGGGGTCTCCTCCAAACGAGGGTTTGGGGGTGTCAGAAGGGAGTAAGGTTGGGGTCTCTGCAGGAATTTCTGGCTCCCTTTGTGGGGGAAGTTCCCAGATCAACCTCCTGTGCCCTATCCTATGGTGTCATGAGGCAGGAGGCTTCTAGCCAGCAGGCTGGGGCCTAGTAACTGAGTCACAATCGATCTGGATCAACATCTGGAAGTGTTTATACTCAGTTCCACCCAAGATGCTGGCAGTTGCCTTCTTGAGGTGCACACACATTCACACACATGAATACACATTCGTGGTGCACAAAGGCACACTGGCAGACACTTTGCCCCCTCCCCCTTCTGTGGCACAGGCCACCGAAACCCTCCCCTAGCCTGCCTTAGGATTTCCTGAAAATCCACAACTTTCTCCAGACACAAGCTAGCTACTCTAGTCCTGCCAAATCAGAGGAGGCCAAGGAGCATGGAAGGAGGGCCCTGGCAGGAGTAGCTTCCTGGCGTGCACAGGACCCACCCCAGCATGGGAACCTGAGAGGCCTGGCCAGCCAGCTCCACCATCCCAGTGCTCAGACTACCTGTTTAGGAGGCTGAGACGTGCACAGTCTGCACATTGGTTAGGCCAGGATTGAGCCAGAGGTGCAGCAGCATGGACAGACCACTCAAGGTGAGTGTCACCCTCTGTGATGCCATTCTCTACTGGGGTAGACAACCATGGAAGACTCTGGAAGGAGGAGGAGGGTGGGAGAAGCAGCTCCACTCAGCTTAAGGGAACCCTGTAGTCGTGGAAGGGGGATGTCCCCACCTGAATTGGTCTTACTGCCTCAGGACTGGAAATGTCCCTTGAGTATTTTTCTTTTTTCTTTCTCAATATTTTTTTGGTTTTTTTTTGAGACAGGGTCTCCCTGTTGCCCCAGCAGGCCCAGCAGGATGGGCTCAATCTCACAGAGATCTACCTTCTTCTGCCTCGAAATGCTGGGATTAAAGGCATGCGCCACCACACTCAGCTCCTTTCTTATTTCTAATATAAAGAAATCATGGCCTGGCTCTTGGGGTGGGTGCCACACATGTGACACCAAAGGTCCGTCCTGGGACCTTAACAAGTGACAGTGCCCCACTGGCTGCTGAATCTCAGATTGTTTATCTACGGCACACAGTACCTCTTTCACAGCTCTTTCCGGCTCCCATCACCAGTGCGCGGCCCTGCTCCCAATGCTCTGCTTCAGGGCTGGGGCCTACAGCGAGGCTAGGGCTCTGGCAAATGAACAGTCCCTTCCCACAACAAGGAAAAGTGCTTAAGACTCATCCTGTCAGCCAGGCCTAGGGATGGCCCCTCTGTGACTGCCTACCCGTCCGGGACTGCCCCCCCTCCCCCGACACCCTGAGCTACTTCAAAGCAGACCCACCCCAGTCCTGGAGCTGGAACCCAGAACCTCAATATCGTAGGTGTCTGCCTTACCCTGGGGCACACAACCCTCAGACAGTTTGATATGCTACAGAAGATGGTCAGGCCAGTCCCCTGGGTTTCACAGTGAGCACTGTGAAGTCTGGATCGCTGGACATTCTTGAGGCAAGGTAACCAAGCTCACAGCTCACAGAAGCAGCAAGATGAAACAGGGAGAAATCCACCAATAATAATAAATGAAATAATGTTTTGTTTTAAAAAAAACAGGGGGGCTGGAGAGATGGTGCACCAGAGAGCACTGGCTCTTGCAGAGGACCCAGGTTCGATTCCTAGCACCCACACTGCAGCTAACAACTGTCTGAAACTCCAGTTCCAGGGAATCCAACACCCTATCCTGACCTCGGTGGGCACTGCAGGACATGGATGTACCTACCTACATGTAGAGAATAAAATAAAAATAAGTCTTAAAAAAAATTATTGCTGGGCGTGGTGGCTCACACCTTTAGTCCCAGCACTTGGGAGGGAGAGGCAGGTGTATCTATGTGGGTTCAAGGCAAGCCTGGTCTACATAGCGAGTTCCAGGCTGGACCTACAGGGAGACCCTGCCTTAAAAAGACTAAAATAATATCTAATAATAATTATTGATTATTGATAATATAATTATTGATAATAATGAAGAGATGACTCAGTAGCTGTTCTTGCAGAAGACCCAGGTTTGAATCCTAGCACCCACATGTTGGCTAACAACTGTCCACAATTACAGTTTCAGGGGATCCAACACCCTCTTCTGTCCTCCACAGGCATTGTATGACATGAGTGCACTTACACATATGCAGGCATAACACTCATATTCATAAAAAATAAATATTTTGCGGGGTGTGCTGGTGCGCACCTTTAATCCCAGCACTCGGGAGGCAGAGGCAGGTGGATCTCTGTGAGTTCAAGGCCAGCTTGGTCTACATAGTGAGTTCCAGGCCAGCTGGGGCTACAGGGAGACCCTGCTTCAACCCCCCCCCAAATAAATAAATAAATAAATAAATAAATAAATAAACAAACAAATATTTAAAAAAAAACACCTTTAGGATCCATAAGATGGCCCAGTGGGTGAAGATGCTTGCCACTAAGTCTGACGATCTGAGTCAGATTTCTGGAGCCCACATGGTAGGAGAGACCCGACTCCCACAGTTGTCCTGTCCTCCACATGTGTATGATGACACCCACACTCCCCATACATATAAAATAAAGGCCCAGGGTTCCTCAGGTTCTAGAATTGTCAGAAGTGACCCTGTGGCTTCATGTGGAAAAGGATGACTGCACTTCATCCCATAAACACCTTGGAGTAAGCACACTGGGACTGTCTGTGAGTGGCCCGCAAGCAGAGCAGAGGCCAGCCAGGCTGCAGTGCACACAGGGACCTTCCCTTTTTCCGTGACATGAGGCCAGCTACTTTTCAGGGCCTTGGTCTCCCCATCTAGTAACAACAGTGTCAACCTCAAGGTGGGCCCAAGAAATGACTGAAGAAGGGAATTGGGGCATGCGAGATGGCTCAGTGGGTAAAGGGGCTTGCTGCCAAGTCTGATGACCTGAGTTTGATCTGGGACTACGTGGTAGAAAGAGAAATCTGATTCCTGCAGCTTGTCCTTTCATCTCCACATACACACAGACACAAATCCCATGCACACACAAAAACAAGTAAATGTAATAAATATTTTTTAAGTTCTATGAGGATTAGAGCTGGAGATGGCTCAGCTAGGTAGTGGTACATGCCTGTCATCCTAGCACATGGGAGGATGAGGCAGTACAATCAGGACTTCAAGGCCATTTTGTGGCTACAAAGTGAGTTCAAGGTCAGCCTCTCCCCTGTGACGCCGCCCCCCCCCCACACCAAAAGAAATGACCAGGGAACAGGCAGGAATAGGTTTTTATCACACATACTATGCCCATTAGGATCTTGGGCAGACATACCCTGTCTACATCCCAGTCCCCTCTCTGTGCAGGGTAGGGATCTCTCCTGCATGGAAGGACCAGAGAGAAGTAAGTGCTAGGACAAACCAGGTCCACTGAGCTGAGACAGGTAAGAGAGAGCTTGTATTTATAGAGAACCACAGCACCCCCTGCAGGCGGCCCTAAAAACAATAGCCTCCAACTGGGAAGAAGTGGCTTGCTTCATGTCCAAGCTGCAAGGTGAGGAATACGGTTTTGCCCAAGGTCCTGGTCAAATCTGGGGGTATTAGCCCCGGTTATTCAGCTTTGCAGTGCAGGAACTATCCAGTGGGTCCCAGTTCCCACTCGTAATGGCAGTGTGAACAGAATTCATGGAGCCAGCAATGGCTCTGCTTCCCTTGGTCCTTCTCTCCCTGCTTGGGGCTGCTAAGGGCCCCATGGGATGGGAGTGGGGGTGGCCCTTTGTGCCAAGTGAGAGCCATGTGTTAAGGCAGTGACAGGCAAAGTGAAAGCCAAGCCCAGGATAGCCTCTCAGTAGAGGGTCACTGAGCTTAGAGACACAGGCAAGGAAGATTTTGGTTTTTCTGTTTTTTGAGAAAGGAGCTATATAGACCAGCTTGCCTAGATCTCACAGAAATACACCTGCCACTGCCTCCCGAGTGCTGTGATTAAAGATGTGTGCTACTATACCCAGCCTTGTTTATTTTTTTAAGACAAAGCTCATGTAGCCCATGCTGGCTCTGAATTTGGTATGTGATGGCAGATGACCTAGAACTCCCAATCAATCCTCCTGCCTCCACCTCCTAAGTGCTGGGATAACAAATGTGTACTATCACGCTCAGTTTATGCAGTGGATAGCTTCATATATGGTAGGCAAGCACTGGGCCCCACTTTCATTCATGCTCTTTTTTCTATTTTTGAGACAGGGTCTCCCTGTAGACCCAGCTGGCCTGGAACTCGCTATGGAGAGCAGGCTGGCCTGGACCTCACAGAGATCCGCCTGCCTCTGCCTCCCAAGTGCTGGGGTTAAAGGCGTGACCACCACGCCCTGCTCACCTTGTTTTCTGAGACTCTGTCTCCTCTTATTTGTCTACAACTAGTCAAGGAGGCAAGGCAGACTGGCAAGGGGGTCCCAGAGACCTGCCTGTTTCTGCCTCTTCAGTGCTGCAATTACAAGCATAGACCGGAACACCCTGCTTTGGTTCTGATGACCAAACTCAAGTCTTCATGCCTGTGGGACAAGCTCTTATCAACCGAGCCACTGCCCTCTCCCCAGCACCTTAGTTTTGTGAGAAAGAGTCTTCCCATATAGCCTATAATTTCTGATGTAGTCCAGGCGACCCTCGAACATGTCAATCTCCTTCCTTGGCCTCTCTACGCTGTGATTAAAAGTGTGTGTCACCAGGTTTGGCTTCAGAGTCCTATTTCCAAGTGACTGAGGGAATGCGTGGGTGCTGGCCCAAGGGATCAGGTTTGGGGAGTAACCACCCTCTCCTACCCCTCACCCCACCATCACCCCACCACTTACCTCCTCATCCTTGTACCAAGACAGCGACTCTGCTGTCAGCACAAACCAGTATTCCTTGGAGCCACCCTTCATCAAGCTGATGTTATTGATGGTCAACCAGCCCCTGCGGATCACCTGGTGGGGAGGACTTGGCTTAGAAGGAAGGACAGTGCCTAGCAACCCAGTCACCCCCAACACGGTACCCAGCACCTTCGTCCCACAACACAGAGGGAAGCCCAGTACTGTGGCAGGAAAACCTCCAGTCCCAAGCCAGGATTCCAGCACCACCTCTCTCCAGGCACTCCCAGCTGGGAACTGGGCAGGGTGGGCATGTAGACAGACAACAACTCACTAGGCTCAGGGAATGATGAGGGAACCAGGACCCCATGAGCTTTCTGTGCTTAGAATGACTTAACATAGGGAAAAAATCATGTCCTCTGGATGGCAAGAAGCTCAGAGGTTGGGGATGGGTGCTGGGCCATGTGGAATGGGACAACTATGGAACTGCATATCTTTGGGTCAGACAGGGTAAGCAGGGATGCCCTTCCTGTTCTCTGGCTGGTGGCTGACACTGGAGGGCCAGAGGAATGTCCTACATAATGCAGTGCCATGGCTGTTACTTCCTTTGGCAAAGGTTCCATACACACTTTCTATGCACAGGTGACTAGTGCTAAGGGTCACATTCCTATTTGGAGGGCTGTGGACAAAGTTGCAGCCCAGAGGAACCTCCTCTGAGATCCCGAAGAGGCCGTCATGGATGGGTACTGTGTCCTAACTAGCCTCAAGCCCAGCAAGCATACTTGTCTATGCATGCCAAATTAGGGGTCTGGGGAGGGAGACACCCCATCTGAGTGGAGGCAGAACTCAGACCTGCCTGGGGACTCACCTGATGGCTAGGGTGCAGACTGCATGGGGGGGGGCACGTCTCACATTCCCATGATCCCTGGGACACGGAGGCACATGTAGACCTGAGCCCAACACCCCCTGACCTGGGGACTCCTAGGACAGCGGGAAGCACATGGAGGCCCCAGCAGGACTTCCCCATGCTAAAGCAGCAACAGATGGGTCAGGCTGATACAAAGCGTACTGTGCATAGCCACGGGCAGCTGGAAATGGCTGGTGTCAAGGTGCTCAGGCAGGATGGGATAGAAGCATCCAAGACAGAGTCCCTAGGGGGCCAGTCTGAGGCCTGTATTCAAGGCTTCCTGGGGCCTGCCCTGCGACCTGCTAAACCTAAATAGGGCCTGCGTCCCCACCTAGGCTGGAGACTGTGGACATTGCTACCTGAGGCCCCTTGTTAAAGCCAGGGGCACAAGACTTCCTCCCTCCCTAGCATGTCAAGATCTCAGGACTCTGGGCACTGCCTGGAACAGGGTGAGGGCAGGGTGTCTTTGCTGGGAACACTTTGATTACTTTGATTAAGTCCTCCTTGTTTATTCCTGGATGCCTGCATTTAGCTATGAAGACATAGCATTCCAGGAACAACCTTGAGTCTGGGCCAAACTGACTGGTCAGTGACATGGTTGGCAAGGCTGATTCTTTACTTCTGGGACCTCTCAATTTGAAGTGTGTGGCTGTGTTCTGTTCTCACAGGGCTGGGAAGTGGGGTCCCCTCAGCTGGTCTTAGCCTAGTGCAAGCTCTTAGCAGACCTAGATTCAGTAACTGCATGTCAATCAAGGGAAAGAAGCTGAGACCCAGTCTGAGGTTGCACCCCTGGAAGAGGGGTCCCACATGGCATGTTGCAGATGTAGCTGTTTTAGTTTCTTTCTTTAAAAAAATATTTTCTTCTTCTGGTTTTTTTTTTTTTGTTTTTTTTTTTTTTTGTTTTTTTTAGACAGGTTGCTCAGCATGTGGGCTCCAGACAACCTAGGCAAGCATTGTTGTGACAGAAAGCCAGGTGTGTGCGTGTTGGGTGAAAACATTCTTCACTAGTGTTTCCTGAGGGAACCCAGGCACCTGTGTCCTGTGAGCTGACCATAGACAGACAAACTAGATTTCTCTCCAAGCTTAATTCTGTTTCCTGACAATGAAATTCTGTCTTAAAACTTATACATATTTATT